AGGCATAAACACACACATTAGCCTAGGCCTACCCAGAGTCAGCATCATCAGTGTCACTGTCATCTACCTCCACATCTTGTCCTACTGGAAGGTCTTCAGGGGCAATAACACACATGGCACTGTCATCTGTGATAACAATGCCTTCTTACATGGAAATGCAAATGGCTTAGAATAGCCAAGACAATTTTTAAAAGAATAAAATTTAAAGGTTTATATTCCTTGATTTCCAAATTTACTAAAAAGCTATAGTAATCAGGATAATGTGTCACTGACTTTAAAAATAGGCACATAGATCCCTGGAACAGTAAAGAGTCCAGACATAGAAATGCATGTGGTCAACTGTTTCTCAACAAAGATGGTGAGGCAATTCAGTGGGGAAAGGAATGTCTTTTCAATAAATGGTGCTGGGACAATTGGACATTCATTGCAAAACAATGATTCTTAAGCCTTACTTCACACCATATTAAAAATAACTGAAAATAGACATACACCTAAACATGAAATCTGTAATTATGAATCTTCCAGAAGAAAACATAGTATAAAATCTTTGTCATCTTAGATTAGGCAATGATTTCTTAGATGGAACACAAGAAACATGAACCATGAAAGACAAGGCACATTGGATCTAAAATAAATTGAAAAGACACTTAAGAAAATTAGAAGACAAACCACAGCATGGAGAAAATATTTGCAATAAATATATCTTCTAATGTACTGTTATCCAGAATAAACTCTTATAACTTAAAAATAAAAAGGGAAAAAAGCTGATTATAAAAGGGAGAAAATATTTGAACTTCACAAGAGAGTACTAATGACCGGTGAATATGTGAGAAGATACTCAATATCATTAGTCATTAGAAAAATAAAAATTAAAACAACTGTGAAATATCATTGTGTATCTGTTTAATTGAAATTAAAAATACTGACCATACCAAGTGTTGCCAAGAATGCGGGGCATCTGAAACTCACATGGTAGTGATGGGAATGTGAAATGAATAGTATAATCACTTTAGAAAATTGTTTTGCAGTTTCTTAAAAAACTAAACATAAATTTACCATACAACCTAGCCACTCCACAACTGGTTACTTCAGAGAAATGAAACTCAACCCATGCTTTAAATTTTTGGCAGCTTTATTCACAATACCAAAACCTAAACATAAGTGTCCTTTAAGAGGAGAATGGATAAAAAAAATTGATATATCCAAGCAATAGAATACTCCGCAATAGAAATGATAGATCTGCTGCCACAGCAAGGATGCATCTGTGATATGGTGAGTGAAAGAAGCTAGACACAATGCAAACTAATTGTGGTGACAAGAAGCAGAGCAATGGTTGCTTGGGTCAAAGTGCATGAACTGTGAAGGGTTCACAAGGAATCTTTGGGATTGATGGAAATATATGGATTAATGCTTGTGGTGGTCGTTTCACAGATGTAAATGACTGTCAAAACTCACAGAATTGTATGCTCTAGATGGATGTACTTTAAGTAAATTTTTCCTCTGTAAAATTGATAAAGGAAAAAAAGTTCCTGATACCACAAATACTGTAGGAACCCTCTACTTTGTGTCCCTTTTTCCAGAAATATGGGTTTATTTTAATAGCTTTGCTTCCAGGGGATCTGATACTATTGGTTCGTCATACTTTTAGAAAGTCTGTCTCTAGGTATTTCATAATATTTCCATATGAAACTTTAATCTCCATGATGGAAGAGACTTTGTTTTGTTTAATGCTCCACCCCCAACAGTGTGAATGAGGTAATAATAAGTTGATGACTACTTCACAAGGAGAAGCACAAGATGATACAAGAACATATAATAAGTGGACCTAATCTTCACTAGATAGTTAAGGAAGATGTCCCTAACCAAGTGAGATCTGAAGGATGATACTGATTAGCCAAGTGAGAGATTTGAGTATAGATGTCAATTAGGTAGTTGCATATTTAAGTCAGGAGCTCAGAGAGTGGTCTGAGCTATTAAATTTTGGGAATCATCTAGGGAGAATGTATTGAAAGAAAATGGACAGAACGCTGAGGAACACCAGGATTTTCAAAGCAAGAAGAAAAAGAAAGCCAGCAAAGAGTCTAAGAGCTTCAAAAAAGATGGGCAGAACACATTACTGTGTGGAATTGGGGCCACCTAGGGGAGAGAGTATTTGAGGGAGTGATCAACCCATGTTGACTGCTACTGAGCTGTCAATCAGGACTAATTGGAGGTCACTGGCAGCCTTTAGGAAAAGCAGCAGATTGAGATAATAAGAGAAGTGCACAGCAAAAAAGGAAAACTACAGACCAATATCCCTTATTAATATAGATGCAAAAATTCTCAACAAAATTCTAGCTAACCAAATCCAGGTGCTTATTAAG